CGTTTCAGAACCCGCGGTTCTGTGTTTGACAAACACTGTGATGTTTCCACACAGTCAGCACAGCTTTTCCCAGGTTCCTTGCATTCTAAAGGTAGAACTAGATTAATATCGTTTGAGTTTGATGAAAACATTTCCCCCCCAATTTTATTAGGAAGGGAAGACAAATTTTCACCACTATATCCAGATATGAAATAACCTATTTTTGGGGTTATTTTCCTCATGGTTCCTTTGGCAATACCTCAGATTCTTTTGAGCCTTTCAGAAACAGTCTGATGGGGGTTGCTGTTGCGGAACAGCTGAGTCTTTTTATGTCTTAACGACCAGTTAATCACGTTGCCTTCCATCATCCATGTGTGTATCTCAAGTTCCGTTTAGACTGTAAGTTGTTTCTGAGTTTAATGAAAACAGCAGCATATCTCCCACTGTATCTGATCTTGGAAGCAGCCACACTGAGAATCTATTTTGAATGCTCTTACTATCACTAAAGGACTTGTGAAGCTTGCTAAGGTTTAAAGTGTTTGTAATGTTACCTGCAGGGTGACAGCATTCGCCTTAACCAGCGCTTCGGCATCACAGCACAGCTTTTGGTGCTCTACTACGTGCTGTCGTATGAGGAAGCTCTCCTCGCAAACACCAAGTCTTTAGGTAAGTTGTACGTCGCAAAATAGTCTTCGCTTTAGTTCATGGAGTTTGCTTATTTGTTGTTATTTTTTAGGCTGTTAATATGAGAAAATAAAACCAAGCCTTCCACCAGGCTCCAGCATTTGTTTTGTATTCTTTGGTATGTAGATGTGGTATGCTCTAATATATAGATACATACATGTGTGGGCACATAATCACTCCTTTTGACTCAGTCTTCCTTTTAGCAACCTAAATTAATAGCTGAATTTCCTGTATTTTAACAATCAAGTGAACTTATTTATAGAGACTAAATGTAAGTTACAAGATATATCTAAGGGGCTCTAACTTTTTTTGTGGGGAGGAGGGACTTGATTTTTGTGATTGGCCAATCTTTTTTCTATTAGTTTGAAGAATGACAGGCTACCATAAGCAACAGCAAAAAATTAGAAGAGTTAAATTTTTTTGTTAGTATTCTCACTGAACCAGGCTTTCACACTTGGCTACTTCATATACTACAGAAGGCCAGCTACAGCATTTTAGATACAAATACAAATTAATATACTATTCCATCTCTGAAAAATTTTTTAACATGTATTTTACACTTCAAGACATAATTACAAATTTTTTATGTATTAATAAAAGGTATTATATACTCAGTGTCTACAAACAATTTACTAAACTTATTTGTAGATACTAAATATAAGTTTAATATTTAAACATTAATATTTTGTAAATTAAATTTAAACATAGACAATGAATATATAATAAAGGATCATTTTTTCTAATGTTTTGTTTATTTATTCACAACCAAATGAATTTACTGTTTACAAATTGTAAATGAAATAACAACAACAACAAAATTGTAAATGAAATTAAATTCACCTTCCAGTCTTTGGCAGATCCCCGTTGTTTCAAAATCGGAAAGGTTATGTTTTAACTGTATTGTGAATTTATTGGCTATTTTTTTTCCTAACTGTTTTCATGAGGATTGTACATAATTATAGTCTTTGACATACTAGGGAAAATATCTAAGTCTCCTATTTATATTCATATATAAAATTATATTCACTATGTATTATAGTCATTATATATTCATATATAAAAATTGCATTCTGTTAAGGAATAAAGCACCTGTTATTTAATAGATAGTAGTAAAACAAGTTACTAATAAGTGTTCTGTGGAAGAACTCAGATAATTAGTATGGTAGCAGTTTAGCAAGATAAACGTTTTCGTTGATAAATGTTTAATTAACTAATATTTTGCAAAAAGTAAAAATAAATTAAGTTCAGAAAATGATATACCCATTAGAGAGCATGTAATCTATTGCCCAGTAAAATGCTTGGTCATACCAATGCACCTGGCTCGAGTCTGCTATTCTTTTTACAAAAATTTCATGACTATGAATTGATAAATTAGGGGTTTTAGATTAAGAGTACAACTGAGCCTGGATTGAGTTTTGGAGATGGAGCTCAAAGATTAGAGAAGAGTTACTAGATCATTACAAGACTAGCCAAAAACTGATGGTAGCAGTAGATATATTTTGAAGGTAGTTTGGGATACTGGAAGTCCAAATTCAGGGTGTCAGCTCTAGGACAAAACTGTATCAGCTGTGGCACAGGGTACTTGGCTCTTTCAACATCTGTGGGCTTGGAATTC